GTCTGTGTGTTTAATGGCAACGAATAAAGTAACCGTGTTAATTGATCACTTTTTTCTGTGTATTACTACTAAAAGTTTCTGTAGCTCTCATAACTTCAATTTTAAAGACAATTCAGTAATCAATCACCATTAATTAGAACAAAATACAAATAAAGAATTATATGAGTGTTGTATTTAGATATATCCGTGGCTTAGTGAAGCACAAGATAGTTTTGAGGTAGAAAAGTTGTATTCGGTATTCATTTCGGCTGTTTATTGATGAAGTTAAATTTCAGTCACTTAATAAGCAAGAACTCACCAATGACTTTGGGACACTAAGTCAGAGCAAAGTATTGAAACCAGGTAAATAACACTACATTCATGGAATGAATGTGTTGAATGAATTTATATTGAACTGGATATCTGGCTAGGGTTAGGCAGGGAAAGACTAAGGTTAGGTCCGTCTAGGGACAGGTTAACCAAATAAGAGAAATATTAGGGTTAAGTTGGACACAGATTAGGATGAAGGTTAGGTTGGAGATAAATTAGAGCTACATTAAGGAAGGATTAAGCCTAGGCTTCAGTTAGGGGCCGAAATTTCCTTTCTAGCACAATTGCTAGTTCCAAGGTGATTGGTGCGTCCGCGTCTCCTGGGTGTCTATGGTTAAAGTTTGTCTGTTTATTGTTATTTAGTATTGTTATAACCAGGTATTGATTCACTGGACTACTTCATAGACTAATTAAAGGAAACAGCAAGCAACAGACATCGAAGTATTGACGCCATCTTCACACCAGTTCAGATTAAACTAATGCTAAAACACAAATTAGGTGAAACAAGGCGTTGCAAAAGTGAAGCAACAAGCAATCCTTTACCATAATGCATCCAGCTGATTGTATCATCAATTTGAAGTTAGTGTAATGTATTGACCAATCAGCAGATGAAATACCTTAAAGGAACCAATAGTTTGGGGTTTATGAACGAAGAAGTGAATATGACCTACAAAATTGTACCTTAAAACTACTCTAATGCAACACTGTAATTTCTAAGATTCTTCAAGTTGGGTGCAATTTACTCAGTTCTACGTGGAATTTCATTACGGTTTCCTTTAGAAACCAAAATTAATTCAATTGCAATATTTGCTGTGCTCGATGCCATAAATAGCAATCAAGAAAGTAAGGCTAATTGCATGAAACTATTTACTACTGATTGATTGAGATGAGTAGTAGTGTACCACTCATATCAGCCAGTATAAGGGATAAAGTTATTACCTTTCAGGTAATGGAGAATATTTATAGCTCCAGTGTATGATTTCGGTGTTGTTGAATGAAGGAAAGTTAGCACGGAAATTGTGAAGAAATTTAGCCTGAAACTGCGTAATTTGCAAGTCGTGAATTTGGTTCCCCGTGAATTATTTTAACATTGATTGATTTACAGCTTAATACTTGAGTAATTCGACTTCATGACGACATAATATCAAAAAGATCACTAAAAGTCAAGGAGGCTTTATCAATTGTCTCTGTGCCAGATTGAGACTTTTGCAGAGATACATTCGCATCCCGGTAAGTAGTCCTTTCCAGGGCCAAAAGTTCACCAGGTTGATGTCAGTTTGTAAAAAATCAAATCAAAAATTAACACATTTCACTATTTACTCATTCATGTAAAATTAACTAAATATAACCCAATGAAAATTTATTTGCAGACCAACAGTAGAAAAGGATTACAAGCTTTCAGAAGAAGAACTGCCAGTTGTTGAATCGATACTCATGAGATCGTTAACCACAGTGGACAGGAGTTATTCAATTGCAAAAGAAGCAAATATTTTTCCAGTCGCCTGTCCAGTACTACTTCGACTGTGGTTAGATGAAATAAAGAAGGATAAATATTTTAAATATTTGAAAAAAAATGAACAAATTATCAATAAGATCCCATTGAAATCCAGTTGTTGCTTAGATAATGATTCAAAGCTATTGACAAAAGCATTTATGGAAGTTTTGTATACACCGTCAAAATTTAGTGATAGTCTGTTATCAAATTTGGCGACAATATCAAGTAGAGGTTGTCGTTGTAGTCGACAAATACCACCGGATATAACAGATTTAGAATTTGAATTATTCTTGAATAAACTGTTGCCATCATATCAAGCCGCAGTGATTATGGTGTATGATTCCCGGTAAGATATTTACAGTAATTTCTTTTTTTTAATCAGTGAGAATATGAAATATGCGTTGACATAAATTAACTTTTTTTTCAACTAACGTAAGCCTTTTTGAAAACTGAGTAAATATTCATTCAAGCTGACTTTACAAAAGTATATTTTGACACTGAATAGTTCAAATTAAAGTTTGCTGAATGTTCAAGGAGAAGAGAAAACAACAGAAAGACAGAGAAGAAACAACAATAGTTTATGTCCTTCCTTGATAATTTGGAACTATTAGTAGATTTAGATTTCAGTCTGATCTGTGAATGCATAGAAGACTTGAAAATAACCGGTTACAAGGATTTAGGTGAAATGTAACTTGAATGGATTCAAAGGTTACTCTAGTAATTATAACTATCACAAAATGTCGAGTTAAATCACGAAGTGACGTCACTTAACGAACCATTGAAAATTACAGAGTACTGAACAGCTATTTCGGCCCAGCATGTGGCTCTTCCGCCGCACGGACGTGATCCCACTGTTAGGGATAGATTCTATAACCTTCAGGTTACGAGGCCAACCCGTTGACCATTCAGACACCAGGTTGTAATTCAATGGCTCGTGAATTGTAAATTCAGCTATTTTGCAATATTTAGCGCCACTGTCAGCAGCGATTATCTATGCGCACACCCGACTTCATGGCTGTTAGATAGTATGGATGTATGTTAATATATATAATCTTGAAAGCATAGGTAAAATAAACTTACTGAGCTTTTGAATTTTTAAGGTGATAGTGGTACAGTTGAATCACACAACTTATGATTAGGAACTTCGAGACATTTACGATTTAAATTCCCTAAACTTGGAAGAGAAATTACTGCTTAGCAAAAAGCATAACATATGCTCAGCAAGGGAACGCAGAATATCTCACACGAAACTAGTGAACAGTGTATATCAAAGCTTCCACACCTAATATCTGAACACCAAATATAGAAGACTAATAAGTGGGGAAGTCATACAGTGAAATATCGTATTCTTTATTAGATGAAAGAAGTTAAGCATAACGCAGAATAGACAAAGCTAAAGAAAAAGAATTTACGTATTTTGAAGCATATTTTTAAAACACTATAGAGGTAAACAACATTACTAGATATTTCTGTATATTTATCTATATTTAGATTACCTAATGCTATGACAGTGGGAACATGTGACCTCCTACGGCAGTTATATATAAGGCAACAGTATACTATACCAACTCTTCAGCATACATTCCCTGGTAAAAGCCATGTACAAAGTGCACGTGCCAAAATACCAAGAAGGTTGTACAGTGGATGGAAAGCTACAGGTACTGGAGCCTGTGCATCAGTGTCTACAAAAGCTGCAGATTACCGGTTTATGTGTTATAATCTAGCTCAGAATATGAATAATAATAATGAAGAAGTCTCTTATCATGGAGAGCAACCACTACTGTTAAGAAGATATCATGGACGACCAAAACCTGGTGATTGTCTAATATTTACTAAAGAGAAACTCTGTTTTATTGGTTCATCGTTTACAGGCTATGAAGAATTACCTTGGACTAAAGAGCAGTTGGACAGAAAAGTGTTTGAATGCAGAAACAAGTTGATTTCTCATGGGTTCTTTTTACCACCTAATTTTCATTTAGTTTAATAACAAAGAAAAAAAAGATGTAATAAAAATGATTTTAAGAAGATTATAACTTTAATTAAGGTTGAAACGCCCTTTGAAAAAATGAATTTAAAATGTTACTTACTCTGGTTAAGCAGTACTGCTGACAGTTCTTTTTTATCTCTGAAACAGTGGCAAACTAGATGTATATTCTCGACAAGTCTGAGTAATCGGTACAGACAACGAAACATGACATGACGTTTCATGTAACAGGCAATACTTATGTTCTGAGGAATGATGATACCATCCGGTGGGATTCTTCGAACTCATAGACGATTAGCTGAAAGCCGAATACTTAAGGCAATGACCTGCGTCTCCAGTCATTTGGCATAATTATTTCTCCCTCAAACAGTGTAATGTTACCACGTGAATGCTATCGTCTAATTACAGAAGAATCCATTGGTGATGGAACTATGATACTCAATTTGCTGAATTCAATTTTTTTGACGACTATACTCAATAGTTCTAACTGAAAATATAGTTTTCTTGTCAAGTGTTGGGATGAATCAGTTGTCAGGACGCCTTGGACTTAAACATCACGCTTATTAGAGCTCATCAGTAGAGCTACTGGAACATCTAGGAAACTCACGTCCATTCCTAGATTTGAATGTGTCATCCAATGTCAAATCACAGACTCAACCACCAAGCTATTCGTAATGTGACTGACTGATATAAGTGAACTGATTTTAGCTGCCTAAACCTGATTTTGTTGATTCACAACCATCGATTCGATAAGCAGTGTAGTACTCACTGAGATAAATGCCCTATAATTTGATATTACATGTGACACCTGCACACACTGAACGTCTTATAGTTGCTAACTTAAGCGCGTCTCAAGTTTGTATGATCATACAGAGAGTATTAATCACAGAGGGCTTATGGTGAGAAATACATAGATTATGGATTTTGTAAGAATAGGGATTAATTTCAATGTGGATTTCTTCGCGAACCAACATTAGTTAGAGACCATTGAAAACCAGGGGGTACTGTACACCTGCTGCGGCTAAGTGGCTTTCAGTATTCCCCTAGCTGACATTGGTTCAAGGTGGTGTTGAATTTCATTCCACAGTTAAAACGGAAAACAGACAGACTACAAACCATCATAATATTACATAATAAATTATCGCGGTAAGTATGCTGGAAATTGAGTACTGAAAAATCACTTATTTCGTCTACTTTTAAGAAGTGTATGGGGAAGAAAAATATAAGAAGATTGATATGCAGCCCACTTAGATTTTTTCTGTTTTAAATAAAAATACCATGGGTAAACTAAGAATATCCAAGGTCAGCTGTCTATGTGAACATTCTAACCGTTACTAGTGTATCGCCGTAGAACTAACAATTCAAGCAAGTTAACTGACCAAACTTTATGTTATTGTGGGTTTCGCTGAAGAACCATCATTCTAAATTTATAATAGAGTAGGGTTTAAGTGCAATTTTATTTTACCTCCAAGCGACCAGAAAACGGTATTCACCATTAGTACGACATCAAAGGTATAGTAATAACTAGATAACGTCTATAAACAGTTATATCCGACAACTTTTATATCCCCTTGACTTTGTGTAAACCAGCTGAAAGACGCTTAGACCACCAACTAGCTTACACCAATCTGGACAAATTAAACCGAAGTAGAATGTCTATTATAATGCGATTGGACGACCTTGAAGCCTGGATTTATGAAATCGTTTGAATTAGTTATTTGTTGACTCATCAATACAGTTATGCCACAGTAGTTGATTAGTCGTCAGTATTCAGCAAGGGGGAACCCATGGAATCATTAACCATAATTTTCAGCAGAAGAAAAAGAAAGTGAATGCAGGCGATAAAAGTATGATCATCATAATTCGTAAGTGTATAAGTTTACTGACAGAAAATATAAATAAAACTTTCATAAAAACAAAAAGAAGAGTCAGTGAAATTATTTATATCACAGATAAATAAAAGAAAATCATTCAAAAATCACCAGATCATAAGAAGTTAACTTATAATAAATAAGTAAGATCAAGTATAATAAAAAATAAAACAAGACTGAAAGAATATAAAATATGAATAGAGGTGTATGTTGATGTCTTAAACAGTTGAGCAATTAGTTTAACATCTTGGCCAAGTTTTATAATTTATCGATATAACATCAAGTATGTAACTGGGATACGTTGTTGAAACATAATCGATCAGTGTAATATTAACACCGTTTACACCAGCTCGACGATCAGGATTATTTACCCAACCTTCAAAGTATTTTGCAGCAATTTTAGCTAAATGATGAACTGAAGAAAATGGATGGCGTAAAATGAATGCCACTGTCGGTGTGAGAACACCTTGATGTACATAGAAAGAATTGGCTGGTCGATATTGATGAGGTCTGTAAAGCAGAGGGATAACACAACACACTGGTGATGAATAATAATGTTTATATATATATATACTCAGTTAGAGGACCACTAGAAACCCTAAATCATTGAATAGTTGTTTCTTCCTAGTTGGGGATTCTCCAGCAGTATGGACTCATGTCAAATGGTATAATAAGGTGAGCAATATTGAGGTTAGGCGTAGTATTAGATAAGAATGGTGAATCAATTGATGAGGTTGTGAAGCTACATCAATTAAGATGGCTAGGAAAAATGTTACGCACGCTAAGCCATCAATTCCCATCATCGAGGAATGTTAGCTGGCAGATAACTAGGTTGGAAGAGAGTTAGCGATGCTCAAACCAAAACAAGGTACCAGCTCATAAAGCCTTTGACTATCAGTTTGAGTCACGTAGGGAGGTGTAGACTGTCTGGCTGGATGGACCGTGGAGAAGCTAAGAACCAATGGTTGGAAGCTGTTACTGACATGGCACGAAATCGTACTCATTTATATATATGTATTCACTTTTCGCAATTTTTCAGAGGCATAAAAGGTATCGTGTTTTCTATGTTTCTCTTCTTTCTCCCGTATGCTCCCTCTCATTTGATTGTATTAGAATTATTTCTCCTACTTTTGTTTCCTAAATGGGATGTGGAAACTTGAAATGCTGCACTTTAATACAAAGTTTTACGTTACAAACTCAGCCAGTCAGTCAGTCAACCACTCCCAGTTGTCTGACACTGCATAAATACAGAGTAATGTTAAAACTTTTACAGTGAGATGAAAAACATCCAGAAGAGAAATCATTACTGCAGTTTATAATTTATAGAACTTTTGTCTGTGTGTTCTGAGTCAACCGTGAAATCACCTGCAAGAAGAATTTGAGTAAATTCACAAGTACGCATTCGATGTAGTCAATTGAATATGGAAGTAATGCATAATACTGAAAGGTGCCAGTCAATGTATACAACGTAGGTTTTAACGCCAGCATAACTGTATGGCTTTTGGCGAAGTAATAATACTGCCAAATATGCCTTTTAGTGAAAAATACTGTTGCAATACTTTCAGATAGACAGTAGGAATGCTTCAGTAAGTATTATTAAGTTAAGAGACCTATTTGGTTTTCATTGAGTTCTTTGTTTCCGTATGACGTGTTATGACTATAGAACCTTACATCTTACGAATTACACGAACCAAGATAATATTTTTATTCATGTATGGTAGGGATATCAATCAATTTCAATTTAGGTTTCATCGCGAATAGCCATGAATTAAAGAACCATTCAGAACAAAACAGCACTGACTGACTAGTTTCAACGTAGAACTTTGTACAGATGTACAGCAGTTCAAGTTGCCACACTCTATGCAGCACGCAAAGCAAGAGAAGATAGAAAAGATAGATAATAAATAGTGTAAGGGAGGAAGAATAGTAATATAGAAAAACAATAGTGAATACATCTGCACCATTGACAACAGCACCGGACAGCTGTTCCTCTTAGTCTGGAACGCACACCAATGATCCTACTGGGAATTTAACCCAGAACCTTCAGGTTATGAAACTAACCCGTTGGCCAATGACCAATGGGTCACTGGGTTGGAATGTAGTGGTCTGTGAATCCTTAATTCTGTCAATTCTCGGCATAGCACCAACGGTTGACACTCAAAATGGTAGATTCCACAGGTCACTTATCTGACTTGAATTTTAGGAGATCCATCTTATAGCGCCTAATGACCTAGAGATTCACATTCAGATTTTGGGTTATGCAGGGATTTCAACTGATATCATTGGAGAATTCGTTCAAGGGGTTAGTGTAAAACCATGCATCCATTTATAGTCTACGTTAACCTGTAGCATGAAAAGCTAATTGATATCTGTAAATGAAACACCCAAATTCATAGTTTCCTATCGATCGCCCATTAATATCTACACTACAATCTGATATGTTCGTGGTCATCAATATTAACACAACTTAATATTCTGGCAGTTTTATTGCCCCCCCCCCCCCGTCTCTAAATTCATGAAGTTAGAAAAATACGTCTCAATCACTATCCACAAGTTCTTTTGATAATCGATAAGTTGTACCTAATAAGCATTAGCCAACAGTGTTAATTGGTTCGTCGAACCACGGCACGTCAGATGAAGGTAAATCAGTATATTACTTTATGACCAACATAAAAAAATGGTAAACAATACTGGTTGTTATAAGAGGTTGGAAACCAGTAGCGTCAAGTAGTAGTGTTTGCCAGCCAGATCGAAGTGATCCAGACGGCCATTTTGTCAGTTTCGGACCCACCTTATTACTCATGTAACCGGATTAACTCAGATCAAGATCAGAAAATTAAATCAGTTGAGACCAACTGAATTCTAAATCAAATTTGCAATTCACGATTTACTCAGTTCAAGGTGAGATTTCGCCACAGCTTCATTTGAAAACCAAAATTATTAAAATCATAATATAGTAATGACAATCAAAAGAGAAAGCATAAGCGCATCATGGTTTATACTGCTAGTTGATTGAATATGATTAGTTTGATACCAATCACAATGAGAATTAATTTGTAAATTATGAATTTGATTCAATGTATTACCAGTCCGTCCAGAATTCTTGTGGTTTCAACTAATTCAGTTGACTGAGCTGAATCAAAACGAGAACACTGGTGATTACCTTGGTCCAAACGAGGGAAGCGGTTGTTCAGTGTTTAGATCTCTCCGATATGACTAACAAGCACTACTGGTCGATGTGAATGGTGTTCAACTATTCATGCCAATCAATCAGTAGTATATAGCGACTGAATTCTAGCTACGTTGCCAGACCGATGGACTAGTAATACAGGGAACAGAAATTGCAATTCGCAAAATACACACATTTCGATGTGAGAATTCTCTATAGTTTCCTTTGGAAACCAAAATGACTTATACCAATCAGTAGTATATACTTCCATGTTGTATTGCTTGTTGTTTTCCCTATCATATATGATATCAAGCTGATCATAGATTGTGATCTGAATAATTTTAGTTTCCAAAGGAAACTTTAGTTAATTTTCACTTTGAAATGCGTGATTTAAAAATAAAAAATTATCAGGCAGTGAAAAAGCCTTACCCAATATGTCTATTTAAAAAACATATCATAGTCAGTGGGTCAATAGTTTCAGGCCAAAATGATTCGATGCAATTAGATGGCCAAAATTTGTAGTGCTTTATCTCATGATTCTTTCGATGAGAAGATATAAATATGATTTGCTGTTTAGCATTCCACATATCGTTTAAGGAGGGAATGTTTGGTTGGTAAGGAAACATACTGGTACCTATAGTCTGTAAGGGGAAAACGGGTAGAAAAACACTTTAAGAAGAGTTATAAAGAAGCATTATGCTGAGAATTCAGATGTAAAGGCAGTCTACATACCAAGTCTTAGCCCATGACCCGTTTAAAGGAGTTTAAGAACACTATCCTGTGTGGTTGTAGAAAGGTAGCAGCGGCTCCATAAGGTGTGCAATAAATGAACACTTCGCTGTCTCTGGCTAATTTATGTTAAACAATCATCAACAAATAGATGTGGCCTTTTCCCCAAATCCATCCATTTTTACGGTGCTTATTTACGGCATTGTTGTAGATGATTTAACCGGTAGTATCTAATCATGCAAAATATTTTGTGATACGGCAACTGTGTAAGTAAAATTTCGTAGTCAATCAACTGTAGGGCTTCAGCCCAACCGTTTTGATCTGTTTAGTCCAGGTCATTAAATCAACAAGCAATACTGTTTGTGTGGACAATGTACGATCAAAGTTCAAACGGGGGAATTGGTTCTGTTTTACAACTAGATTGCACACATAGTCTTGGTGAAAAGAAAATCATGCGTGGATCAAATTGAAACGCTATGAATCATCATCGAACAGAGAATAAAATGGCAGTCAAATATCTCCTTACCTCAAATTCATCGACTTTGAAAAGGCCTCCAGTAGTGCTCACTGTGAAGTAATTCGTAAACCCCTTCAACACATGAAGTATAGTATTAAAAACCTTTATGAATCTCGCTCAACAGCTGTATGACAATGCCACATGCCAACTGATTCACAACGGAAATCTCAAACAAGCCTTTGAAATAAAGACAGGGGTAAGATTAGGTTTCCTACTATCACCGATCATAATCCTGACTGCGGTGCACTGGACCATGCAAAAGGCCGTCGGGAGCAGGATGACAGGTGTATGTTGAACTCATAAGAAAACTCTAGAATGTCTGGGATTTGCGGATGACTTATGTTTAATGTCACACAAACTCGAGGACCTAAATATGAAAACAAACAAATTGGCAGCAGAAGCAGCGTTGATAGGACATCAAGTGAACCTAGATAAGACAATGGTGATGAAAATAGTTAACCAACAACAAAAAACAGCAGTCACCGTCGACGGCAAAAATTTAGTGGAAATCAGCTCTCTCACTTAACTAGGCAGCATCGTTTCAACTACAGTCAGTAGGGATGGGGAAGTCAAAGACAACTAGAATCAAAAAAGCTAGACAGACCTTCGTTTCACTGAAATCAGAGTTGAGATCTCTCCTGTATTCAGCATGAGGAAAAAGATTCGGATTTTCAAGATTAATGTCAAGTGAATGCTTCTATATGGTTGAGAATCAGCATGTCACAAAAGCATTTCCAACAATTATCAACAGCCACCTTCGCTCCTTACTGAAAATAAGATGGTGAGAAAGGTTTAGTACCACGGCACTTTTGGAACAAACCATCCAACAAGTATGTGGAGAAAAATGGAGATGGATTAGACACACAGTGAGGGGACCGCTGAGTGACACCGCGCGCCAGCCAGGAACTCTGGTGGAATCCGAATAGAAAACAGTGAGTTGAGTGTCCAAGGGTGAAATGGAGTGGTTCGTGTGAGGAGGAAATGACAGATTATGAATAATCGTGAAGCCAGCTAAAAATAACTTCCGAAGACAGGATGAAATGGAGATATGTTGTTGAAGCCCTATGTTCCCTTTGGGAGACAAAGGAACAATAATAATAAAAAGGTAGAATACGTTAAGATAGTAGTCATTACCTTTAGTACAAGTGATTCAAAGCAATTTTTCTGTTCATCTGTTTCAAAATAATAACAATGATTACAATCCACAATAACAATTTCCTTGGGATTGGACTGAAGAAAGTCCAGAATACTTTGAAGTTCTTTTGAAAGTAGATTGGCGTATTGTCCATGTACTAAGTAAAATTCATAATCAATACTATCACTCTGTTTTAACCTTCTTCTTTTTCCTTTTCTTTTGGAGCACACACGAAAATCAAAATATCGAATACCAGCTTTTAACTGGTCGGATAAACTTAATGACTGTGTCACACTCCATGGGTATAAGATTCGACTTAACAGTTTACGAGGAATATATTTGGCTAGATGATAGATAGGTCCCTCTGGTGAAGGTCGGCTACTTTGAGTAATGGAATATGTGAATGAATCATGGCTACCTAAAGATTTGGAATTAAAAAAGCAGTTTATTTACTACTACTAAAACAAAAATAAGTAGTTACTAAAATGAATCATGAAGTTAAAAGAGATATACATAAAAACAAGTGCGTCGGTGATTTAGTGGTAGCATATTTGTTGCCAGCAAAACCCATGATCCAGATGCAATTCCTAGCCGACGCAACTCCCAAACCTCATCTAGTTCCCTACTGGAGTTGGTATCAAGCCCGGAAGAGGTGAGATTGAGTGTGAGGCCAGTAACCCTAACCTATAGAATGCCACCTCTAATGAAAATTCAAAGCTTAAAGCTTGAAGCCCTATATTTCACTCAGAACGCAAAGAAATGAAAAGAATAGATACGTAAAAATAAGCGAAACAAGAAAATGGTACAGACGAAATAACAGTCATCTTCATAACTGTGAACGCTGAACATTCCTCTACAACTAATTTACCCACAACCTTGATAGAATACTTTGTGTTTTAAATTAGCATTATTATTAAAAATATAAACTTGGTATACTACAGGCACCAAGAGATGGACCACATAAAAATAACAAAACAACAACATATGAGGGTAATAGTAATGGAGTAAATGAAGGGTATTCAAAAAGCAAGTAAGCATACTTGTCAAGATCATTCATCATTGATTACCTCATGTTACCTTCAGAAAGGGAAGAGAGAAAAAGACTATAGCATGTTCACCGTTTATTGAGACTCTTGGTCATATCTAATAGCGTCTCGAGTCACCGAATCAAATTATTCCTCGGATGCCACCCAGGGAATCGTGATATACTAACGGATACTAACTTATTTTAATTTACTTCGGCTATCTCCTAAGGGAGGATGAGCCGGCTTCATGAACATCTCGAATCAAGAGAGTTCATGAAGTTTCATGGGAATTTGGTACGAGTGATGTCTCCAGAATCGCTCGGCCTTTTGTTTGAGAGTGCAGCTCTAGCCTTTACACAACCAAGTGTGACCTATAAGGCAGTAGGAGTGGAGTAGGGAGTCCACTATCCATTGGCAGCCGGTGACCGGAGTTCGGTTCATACGCCTTTTTGAATGGGGCCAGACATCCAGGACATCCAACAAGCCCTTTGTCCATACGTCTGCCGGTGAGCTCCAGTGAGCTTCATACGCCAGTCGTTGGAGGTTTGGAATCAGAGTTTAGCCATCTCGGATACTAACGGATACTAACCCAACACAGACACCCTTCATCCCACGCAACACATCATAAGCTGACCAACTCTCCGCATTTTCCATTTAGTCCTAGAACTAGCATATAGCGAGGGGTATAAAAGCCTTTGGGATGGGATTCGTAGCGTACGATTTTCAGCTCTTCCTGGTAAGCCTGCACTTCCACCGTTACGAATGTAAGCACTATATTCGATCTTTCACTTTTATGAAGGCAATGAATAGAGCCTACTTGGCAAAGACTATGAATGCGTGGCCACATGAAATCATTTTAAAAAGATCGAAATCTACACATCCTCGTCCGTACCAGGTCGTTTATTGTCCTAATTCAGAGAAAAAACCAGTCCGTTATTGATGGTTCCATCTCCTCCACAGTAAAACATTGAATAACTGTGCTCGAACTTTAGAAAATTTTCTTTTCTATACATGTGAAACGGTGATTATTATATTAAATGAGTTTTCCTCACAACTTAATCTATGGTAAATTGCCTTTCCATAATAGTGTGAATCTGTAGCTAAAAAGTGCTGTTTGTAATACTGTATATTTGTCTGTGTTGGTGAATCAACATGAAAAATTAAAATGTTTCTTATGTTAATTAGAACAGATAAGAGTATTGGGAATTTCAGTGTACTTCAGTACCAATCGTAAATTCTAAGTGTTAGAATTTCAATAGCATTTTATCCAAAGATTGGGATCAGATTCACAGATCATTGATCCATGCGATCGACTCCCAACCTATGGGTTACGGGGTTCGAAACGGTCTCCACCTACCGAGGTTTGTGCAGCCAGGTAGTACCATTAGCCCTTACAATAGGTGTGTTTCATTACCAGCTGCATTGAACTGTAATTAGTTTGAGAGGGATAAATGATTACTGTGAGATCGATATGCTTACTACGGTAAACCGTAGATATGTGCGATCAAGTGTGTAAAGTAAATTGAGGGTTTCTACGCAGGCGGACCAAAAACCGCGATTGTCTTTAACAAATATGTGCAGAAAATTACGATCTTGCAGATTTCGGAAACCCTTACTAGTTTCCATCCAATTTTTTTTCGCCTGTACATTTTTTCTTTTATTTTGTGTGCTTTTCCAAAGTATGGCAGACTCAACTCATGAATTCTCGGTCAAAGTTCCATACTGACAAAGCAATGAACCATGAAGCTGCTATCAGATTGGTTAGGTGCTCCAAGACTATTGGTGAGATTATTAAATGAAATGGTTAGGACCCTTGCTACAAATACTAATCTGCCGCCGAAACTAAAGTACTATATTTGTTGTAATAAATTCCGACTAAAAGTGGTGGGAACGGCCACTCCTGAATGTCATATCTGAAGCAGTTGGAATCGATATTTGGAGAACTTACGTTGAACTCTCACGCAAGTTAAGCATTCATTTAGAATACATTTTCAATGAAATAATACCAAATTGAAGATATAAAAAAATTGTCAGATATCCTAGCTATCCTTAAAATACAAAAAAATTACTTTCAAGATGCATCGTAAGTAATATTGTCAAGAGTGATGAGGAAGCATAAACATCGATGGTCAACTAACCTGGAATAGATATCAAATTAAGGGGTTTTCGCGATATATGCGGGGGCAATTCAGACATCCACGAGGAAGGATAAGTCATTGTTTGCCTGCATTTAAGATAAAAGTACAACATAGCTTACAAGTGTCCTTTTGAAGAAAGTAAGTTGAGATGTTATACATGCTGGTCACACACATAATAATGGTATTGTAGATGTTTATAGTCAAGAGAGTTAAGGCACTAGACTTGAAATAGACAATATTTAGTATCCAAAAGGAGGCTTAGATTCCAGCCTTTAGCTGAAACTTGAAATCAAGAAAATAGTACACAAGTTCCAATATATGCTAGCACAATGAATATTAGAACAAATTACGGGTTTAAAGGACTCAGTACCATACCATCAAAGAACAACTGCATTCCATAAAAACAATCTAAGTACAGCGAAAAGAAACGAAATCCTACGGGAAAAGTTAAAGAATAACAGCAACAACCAAAGAACTAATTGATCTTTGGGCAACTCATCACATAATCAAGCAAAAGAGCCTTGTATGTATTGTATAAGAAATTTGGTTTGACTTTTTACCAGATTCCCCCAAGAGGAATCAAGTGTAAATCAAGGTAATCTAGAAGGTTCTTGGTAATGACTGCTATTTATATTGTATCATACAAATATAAAGTAGGCTTTTTATAGTAAAATCGACGGATAAAAATCTTTAGATTTGAATTCATATCTGCAGTCATGCTAATTTCCACACTAAAGAACTATAAAGATAAATGTACAACAAAATTACAGTGTCAATAATTACGCATAATTTCGACGACAATGATGTAGGACTCAACTGAAGGGGAATTGTTTTCAAAGAATGTTTAGAAGTAAAACTTCGTAAAAACCAAAAGGGTCTATCGAAAACCTTTGAAATGCAAAAAGTACTTTTGCAGTCTACAAACAATCAAAATAAATATTTGGATCGACATGTATATCCAAAAAATGTACTGGGAATTACCAAGACACAACCACCTCCAACACTTAAGTATCATACTGTGAACTGTATTGATGCTATTTAACCACATATCGTTGAACTAGATCAAAATGTCTACATAAGAGTTTATGAAGTCTGCAAACTAAATTAAAAAATAACGCCAATCTTTTGAGGGATATGTCAGAGAAATTACAGAGGGGCAGTGTGATAACACGAAGTCGGATCTACAGAAGATCCTGAAAGCGGTTAATAGTAGTGAACATCAGTTTCCGAACAATCCAAAAAATTTGTATTCATTCTTTTGAACATCCAACCGTCAACAATCCAACTAGAGACACTATCTGTAGGCCCCAAAATTCTGCATAAAATCCTCAGGTATCCAGAAACTTCACGTTCTGGTTCATGTAGAAAACTTGAAGAGCACCTACAATTATGTGAGTCGGCTGTCCTTGAGAAGTGCCACAAGTTTATAACGCCAAACCAAACGACCAGTCAATACTGACTAAAATAGATTTTAAATAACATTAGGGGCTCATTATTATAAAAGCTTTGTATTTCCCAATTACTGAAAGACAAAACGATATTGTTTTTACTGACATTTCGCCACTCAATGCTAGTGGCTTTTTTAAAGTATTATTAAACTAGACTTTACAAGGTCTCAGCTGATATACAGCCACTAAATCATCCTTCTTCAGCATGAGGTAATTTTTATGTTGTCAAGTTGGTTAATTGCCTGATGCTGGAGACGGGTGATTAAGTCACTGTATATCAGCTGAGACTTTGTAAAGTCTAGTTTGATAATACTTTGAAAAAGCCCTAGCACTGAGTCGCGAAACGTCAGTAAAAACAAAATTGTTTTGTTTTTTCATTCATTGGGAAATAGAAGTGCTTTTATAATAAGGAATGTCACATACTCGATACTCGATTTTTTTAAACTATCAGAACTTGGTTTGGACATATAGAAGTTAACGAACAATATAGATTGTTGATATTCCCTGGTAAAAGTGTGAGAATTGTACTGATTAATCGACAGGGCATCAATGAAATTTTAACTACTCTGCCTGGTGAGTTCAAATTTACGAAACTCACCAATGGAAAGAGGTATGACAGAGAGAACTGAACAAAAATTAACGTATATTCTCCAGGAACTGAAGACTAAGTCATCCGCTGACGCCGAAATGTTTGCTTCAAACATGACGACAGTACAAAACGAATGCGCACCTCCATTATGGGTAAATTTTATTTTGATAGAGTCTCACAGTGTTATACAGTAATATTTACTGATGACGTTTCGAGCACAATTTATTGCTCATAATCATATCAAGGTAATCACACAACTTCCTAAATTCATTTATATAGTTCCATTGTTTTTCACTTGATTTGATTGGTAGTATTATTTTCCATATTTTGGGTATTAGTGATGATTCATTCCTATTGCACGTGTTGGGTGTAGATTCGATGAACAAAGATTCAGCAATCAACCTCTCTCTCCACCTACCTAGATTACTTTTTAGAATTTTAACCCTCTCCCACCCTATTGTGTGGTTGTGTGTTAATGCATGCATTGTAATTGCCGAGCTTTTTTCTAAATTACTTATCTTCTCTGGGTCAACCATTCTTACCTTAGCTAAATTCTTATGTTCTGACAACCTGACTACTCCTGACCTACTAGTTTGACCTATGTAGTTGACCTCACAGTCATTGCAGGGTATTTTGTAAATTATATTATTTTGTCTAATTGGGTCCACTGGGTCCTTTAACCTACAGAGCTTGTCCCTGAGTGAGTTTGTAGGTTTAAATGTCACCCTAATTCCTGCTTTATTTAGAATCCTACGTAGGGTCTCAGATGTCCCTTCTTTATATGGTATAACTGTCGATGACTTATATTCTCTCTTATTTATGTTATTATTATTAGTTTCACAATTCTTTTTATTTTTCTTTTGGCGTTTTTCAATCTTCCTAATGAATTTTCGAGGATAGTTATTTAAAACCAACGCCTCTTCTATCTGTTTTATTTCATCATTTAGGTCTGTTTTTGTGCTACTGAGTGCCATGGATAGCTGGGAAAATATGGCACTTAATACGTTTAATCCTACTCCAAAAATATGGTGGAGATATGTGGATGACACTTTCACAGTGTTAAAAACAGAACATATCTCTAGCTTCTTGACACACATAAACTCACTAGTGGAGGGAATAAAATTCACATTTGAAGCTGAAAATGAGCAAGGAGAATTAGCTATGTTAGATTGTAAAATAAAACGAATAGAAGAAGGCAAATTCCACACTAGTGTTTATAGAAAACCAACGCATTCTAATAGATATTTAGACTTTAATTCATCTCATCCTTTAACTGTTAAGGCAGGCTTAGTTAAGTGTTTAACAAACCGAGCAATGGCACTCAGTAGCACAAAAACAGACCTAAATGATGAAATAAAACAGATAGAAGAGGCGTTGGTTTTAAATAACTATCCTCTAAAATTCATTAGGAAGATTGAAAAACGCCAAAAGAAAAATAAAAAGAATTGTGAAACTAATAATAATAACATAAATAAGAGAGAATATAAGTCATCGACAGTTATACCATATAAAGAAGGGACATCTGAGACCCTACGTAGGATTCTAAATAAAGCAGGAATTAGGGTGACATTTAAACCTACAAACTCACTCAGGGACAAGCTCTGTAGGTTAAAGGACCCAGTGGACCCAATTAGACAAAATAATATAATTTACAAAATACCCTGCAATGACTGTGAGGTCAACTACATAGGTCAAACTAGTAGGTCAGGAGTAGTCAGATTGTCAGAACATAAGAATTTAGCTAAGGTAAGAATGGTTGACCCAGAGAAGATAAGTAATTTAGAAAAAAGCTCGGCAATTGCAATGCATGCATTAACACACAACCACACAATAGGGTGGGAGAGGGTTAAAATTCTAAAAAGTAATCTAGGTAGGTGGAGAGAGAGGTTGATTACTGAATCTTTGTTCATCGAATCTACACCCAACACGTGCAATAGGAATGAATCATCACTAATACCCGAAATATGGAAAATAATACTACCAATCAAATCAAGTGAAAAACAATGGAACTATATAAATGAATTTAGGAAGTTGTGTGATTACCTTGATATGATTATGAGCAATAAATTGTGCTCGAAACGTCATCAGTAAATATTACTGTATAACACTGTGAGACTCTATCAAAATAAAATTTACCCATAATGGAATTACACTCTACCACAGTGCCCAAGTTTTATTCTTATATGAATGCGCACCTCTTCGTCCTTTCCTATTGAAAACATCAGCCGTTCGAATCAAAACATGCCCTCGCTACATGTGATTCATTATTTAAAAACATCCCATTAACTGAAACAATATGCTACATATGTGAACATATTCCAAGGGATTAAGTATCATCATCTTAAAAAGCTTTGGTTGAAGTGCAGCTTATATCCAATTCTCTTACAATGATGGAGCAATTAGACAAAATGATAGTGTTGTCATGCACTAACTACCAGCCCCTTTGCTTGCACAATTCAGGCAGAAACTCAGAAACATATTTAAAGAGAACGACCGGCAACTCTGTGTTTAACAAGACACATGGACGATACTTTTGTTATCTCCAATGATTAGGGGAATCCAGAAGATATTCTAGATTTTTTCAATAGCTGCCACCGTGAAGTCTAATTCATATCACAAGAGTTTGATTCAAAAGTTCCTTTCTGTTTTCAACCCACAAGAACATTAACAAGATAAATCCACATAGCGCTGATATGGAAGGGACAACTTACTAACTCCTTCAGTTTGTGCCTCTTTATCACAAAACTGGATCTAATCCGCTCAATTAGTTACAGAATCCACGATATTTGCAGCCCATACACTATTTGAGGGGAGCTGAGCTACGGCTTACTCTGCAAAATCAATGTTTCGAATGAATGTGAAGGACAAACTGCCACTGATGGCCTTATCAATATGTATCTATCACTTCACCTGCTTCTGTGGAGCTGGGTATGCCGGGTACACTCAGCATATGCTATCAAAACTATTTGTCGAACACATATCCTTATAGTTTTACAGAGAAAATAAGATATCGGAACAGTTCTATTCTGGAACACCTGGTCGATTGTGAACACCGAGCGAACTATTAAACCAACTTCAGCGTCGTCCACAGAGTACTTTTAAATCTTGGAAAAGAAGTATAAATCAAATTTCTTCAAACTGCAGAAGCTATTGCAATACATATGCCAAACACAGAATCTTGCACACAGACGATTGTCCGCTCATGGGACCTAAAAATAATCTAATTTGTCTGATCATGTGATGAGTTCTTTTTTGGAAAAGCCTTAGTCTTGTTATTCTTTTTTTTCTTTGTCCATCGCTACAAGCCTACTCCATATGACATTCAGTTGCAACGTTATGATTGTATAGCTTGTGCGTCGGTGGCACAACGATGGAATGATCACCGACCACGCATAT